TCACACACACACACACACACACACACACACACTCAGATACGCACACATACAACACACAAACATACAAACACATATACACACACGCACACACATAAACACACACAAGTCCACATCGTCCTTCAAGACACCACATTTAGAGTAAGCCTTAAAAAAAGGGAGAAGAAATTTGCTGCAATCAAGATTATAAAACCTCAGTTGGTCAGCCTACAATCTAGTTATCAGCCAAACCACTAGAGCGGACAAAAACATCCTTTAATATGAAGCAAGAAAAAGTTTTTTAAAAATGCGTAAGAAGATTCTGCTACAATACATGAAAAAACGAATAAAAGAGAGATTTTTACAATGTCTACCACAGACTAACCGTTTGTCGGAGATGACGCAGGCATTTCTCACTGGCGAACTGCATGAAGAGTCGTTTAGACAGAACAAGGCACTCAGCTCCGTTACTGACAATTGACAGGCTGGGTTGGTCGGGGAAGAGCAATGGAGTAACGCCCTGGGTGACAAATCACACAGACAAAACGGTAAAGGCAAACATTTTAAAATGAAGAATCATATTATTTTACAATCATGGGTGTCTTTTGTTAATAATCGTTGTTGTTGTTCAAACATAATTTTATAAACTTGTGCTTTCGTCCTCAAAATGATCTCTTAGAGTGTTGAGGAGCCTTTAAAAAATAGAACAAAAAGCAGGAAATTGCTCTACTCACAAAATACCCAAATATTTAAAATTTGCATCCCTGCAGAGGTCAGTAACTTTGATTTCTAAAATTTTGTTCAGTACTTTCGTCTACCCATCTATTATATCATTTCTTCGTAACAGTTATCCCAAGGCAAAGAAAAGAATCGGCAAGCCTGCCCTAAAATAGTCTTAGACTTTTCTGGGGGCTCTCGTGGCCTAGAGTGCCACTCATTCAAAGGTCCCGGGTTCGAATCCGGGTAGCGACCGAACAATTTTCTTCTTCAAAATTGTTTCCTTTCACGTCCTTTCCAGCTCTTCAGCAATGTTCTGTCGTCTGCTTTCGTCTCCTCTTTCACCCTCCACCCTTACCTCCTTTGCTCCGTCCTCTGGGCTCCTGATTCTTTCTGAAGCCTTTCTACTGCTTCTCCTTGGCTCCTTCTTACTGTTGTCTTTCAGCCACACCCCTGATCTTCTGGTAGGGAAGATCTACACTTAGCCTTCTCGGATAATGGCGAACAATCTTGGAGGGCCCGTGTGCAAGCTGTGCACGTTAAAGATCCCTTGGTGGTCTAAAATCGATAACAGTAGGCTCCTGCCGCCACCCGGGGAAAAAATCAAAAAGTCCTACCAATGACCTTATGCAGTTGCGAGCGCCGTAAAACATTTACACAAAAAAAAAGAAAAAAAAAAGACTTTTTAGATCAAACTGATTGAGCACTCACGAAATACTGTCCCTTCTCCAACACTTGTAGCTCAATGACGGTGGGGTCAAGGTCAACCTCAGTAAACTTGAAATCTCGCCGCCCTCTCTGGTCAAGCTCTTCCGCTATCGTTTTCCTCCCTTCTCTGTCCATGATTCGCCGTTGATATTCTGGAAAAAAAAGTTATACAACGGTGCCCTTTGCAAAAAGATTCGTTTTAGATAAATACCCTTTCGAAACATTACGTGTGGTACCGTTTTTGTGAAATCCACCTCCACCCCCCCCCCTCTCTCTCTCTCTCTTTCTTTCTCTCTCCCTCTCCCTCTCTTTTTCCTTCTCTGGGTTTATGTGTTTACGTGTGTGTGTGTGTGTGTGTGTGTGTGTGTGTGAAATCAGAGAAAGAGGAAGGTCAGCTTGATAAAGGCTGCTGTTGTAGGTTTTAAGCCCCCTTGTATTTGCTCCGACATGGATATACCTCCTCACTCGGCAACAATACATTGTTTCGAAGGCGAAGGCGGACTGCTTCGTCGTAGTGAGAATAAGAAAAATACCTCACAGTACATGTAGAGTGGTACTCAGAAGACTCCCCAAGTTAAAAATTTCAAGAGCGTCAATCTGAGTCTTTTTTTTTCTTTACCCCTTGGGGTTTATTTTAGCCTATATTTGCTTTGGAGTTTACAAGGAAATTCCACTACAAGAATTATTCACTCTGGGGCTCATGAGTGTCCCCCTCTTGCTCTTACAGATTCTTTCGACAAATGAACTTGCGGCTCACCTCGTCCACTTTTTCTTTCATACCCCCCCCCCCCACTCGCAAACATATAAATGGGTTTCAGTCATTCTCGTTCGTTCCATGCACAATTGCATTTTATTTAATACAGTATTAAAGTTTATTTCATTTAGTGTTGAGCTGTGTTCTCTTACACTCGTCGCTTTTCGACCCTTGGTTTGTCGAGTGTCGAGTTGTCGTTACTCTGTGCTCTTACTGAGTTTCTTACTGCCCGTAGTGGTGCAATCTACTTCATAGTGCACATGTTCGTAATGTATCAAAATCTCTTACTGCATACTTCAAATAAGGCTATTTAATCGCTCGATATCTCCATCCTAGTAATCCTTCACCTCTTTCTCATCTCTTACCTTCTCCAAACCTCTCATCCTTTCACTTTTATCTCCTATCTCTCTTTTTTTTTCTTACCTTTCCTCTTTCTATACGGCCTGATTCTTTCACTCCATATCTTCCTCGTGTCATCGTCCTCTCATTCTTTCTTCTCCCTTTTGTCCATTTTCCTTTCTACCTTTCCAATACCCCCCCCCCCCTTTCAAATTCAGCCACTCCAACTTGATTCTTTCAACTCTTCCTTCTTATTCTCCATCACTTCACTCTTCCCCATAATTCTTCCGCGATCCTGATTCTTCTTCTCTTTGTCCCTTGCCCCCTGTCATCACCCAAAATGACTCACGTATCTGTAGTTTGGCCAACTTTTCACTAATGCTTTCTTCCTTCTTCCCCGCCCCGTCCACTGGTGTCTCCTCCTCTCTGTCGTTGTTCATCAAATTCCTAGACAGAAGTTCCGTGTGGTGTGATTGTTCTGTTTCTGGCCCTGGCGACGTGGTCAGAGATTGAGGCTCCGGACTTGATTCACCGACCTCTTTACCAGTTCCTGAGTGTTGAGACGGGGCGAGATATACCCCCTGGGAAAAGTATGGTAATAACTATTCATCATTGGTGCTGTCCTCCTCCTTCCTCCCCGTTCTTTTCTTCTTCCTCTCCTCTTCCTCCTCCTCCTCCT